CAGCCCCCCAGACACCAGGGCCACCACTGGTCCAGCAGCAGCCAACAGTGCCCTTCAGCCAACATGGGAGAAATCGGGCTGGCCGCCTCTGACAGTGAGCTGGACACCCTTCCGCTTGCCCCCCAGGGCCTGCCCCCTCACTGCCCTCTCCAAGGAAACCAGGGACAGGGATGGGGCAAGGCTGTTAAAGGGCCCAGGACGTGCACTTGGTAAGGACCCCACGGAAGGAGATGGGCCTGGGTCCTGAGTGTCCCCCAGGACAGCTGCAACTGGCAGGGCTGGGGTCTGCCCGGGCAGGGAGAGAGCACAAACTGGCATGACCCATGGGGCCACCCTGGGCCTCTCAATGGCACGCCGTGCCCCAGTCTCCTCAGCCAGCCGGCTCTAAAGGTGCCTGGAGTGGATCAGGCTTTGAGAAAGGACCCACCAGACCGTGCGGGAAGGTCACACCCTCCACCAGCCAGTCTTAGTGTCTGCTGTGCCAGCTCAGTGAGAGTGCCAAGTGCCCGCTAATTAGGGAAACCACAACCCAATGGAACAGGAGCCGCTTACGGGACTTCTGAGAGCCTTTATGGTTGCCAGGGACGTGGACCCAGGAGAACAAGACACAGTGGGTATGAACTCTGCCCTTCCTGAAGCCCACGTGGGATCAGTGTCAGGCAGAACACCTCCTGAAATGCTGGCATAGCAGGATGAGCACGTGGAGGGTGTCTGGCCCAGGCCTGGCCTGTCCTGACGTCCCTATGCTGGGCCTCACCTCCACCGTTTTCAAGTGATGGTACAGCAGGTGATTTCGAAGGATCCTGTCAGCTCTCACTTTTGTGCTCAATGTAACTCTGGGTTATTCTTTTTTAAAACAGGAACTGCAAAAAAGCCATGCAGCCGCCATGAGTGAAAGACCCAGCGAGCTGTCCGAGCAGAACCACAGGACTGAACTCCCTGGATGTGCTCCTGGCCCTCCTTAACCCCGGCACCAGTCCATCCTTCCTGGGCCCGTCCTCCACCCACCCACCCAAACACCTGGGAATTCTGCAAAGATCCCCTTTCTCTCCCTAATGGCCCCGCTCCCAAGGTCCTCACTGCCATCGGCCAGGCTGGTGTAGGAGTGTTGTGGGGATGGGGCCGTGAGTCCTGCTGGGAGAAGTCACCTCATGTGTACATGTTGAGCACGTGTGTGCAAGTGTGTGTACAACTCGGGGTGACGGTGACAGGCTCTGTCTCACTTTTGTGAGACACTTTTGTGATGTGGGTGGAAACCTCTGACTCAGACTTTCCAAGACAAGCATGTCACATGGCTGACAGTTGCACGTGGCTGGAACAGGGGGCTGCCCTCCAAGCACATGACACATGCATAATTACATATGAACATGCACAAATGACTCCAGATGAGACACGGGATCATGGCTCAATGTGTGACCAGGGTCAAGACTCAGAGTGTGACCAGTGACCAGGACCAGGGCTCAATCTGAGTCTGGAATCTAGGCTCCATCAGTGACCAGGGACAGAGTCATGGATCACGGTCATGGATCAAAACATCAAGTACTACTCAGATGACAGTCACATCACTGACGGCACTCAGCCCCCAGTGGCCCCACACACACACAAAATTCCGGAGACAAGTGAGAACCCTTCTCATCCAAACACACAAACACAGGCCCAGACAGCACAGACCCAATCTCTGAACTCACTGGTGGAAGCAGACCTGGGGTCCTGTCCCTGGTCCCCACTTCACGAAACGCTTGATTCCTCTGAGCCCGTTTATGTGAGGAGTGGCCCCACTTGGGAATGGACAGAGTTTCTGTCCAGCAAAGAGCAGGGCAAAGGAGAAAGAGTGGGGGAGGGGAAGCGACAGCCCCCTCCCTCCCCTGCCCAGCCCTGGCCTTCAGCCCCACGCTGTCCAGTTCTGGATCAGACACCGCAGTCCTCATCCTGAGCTGGACCACAGTCCTTTCTAAGCCTCAGCTACCCCAGACCTAACAGGCATAGTTAGCCAGGCTCCTAAGGCCGTGCCCAGGACTGAACAGGGAGCTTGTGGGCAAAATGTGTTCTGGGGCACCTTCCAGCTGGCCTCAGAGCCCTGGGCCCAGGCACAGAGACCCTAACAGTGTCATCCACTCAGAGATGACCAGGGGTGGGCCGTGGGTGGGCCCCCCACACCTGAGGTGGGGGCCATGGCCAGTGGTAAGCACCCCATGGACCTGGCTGCAGCCCACTCCCCATCACCTCTCTGCCCCCAAGGATGGGAGGCTGAGGCTCCCAGAGGGTGGAATCTGCCCCAGGTCCCACAGTCTTGGGGACTGTGAACTTCACACTCACTGGGCTGGCCAGACTGCGCACAGCCTGCTGCCCTAGGGGCCAAGGGGCTGGGTCCACATCTCTGGAAAGCAATTTACCACCAAGATCTTGAAACTGTCCAGGGGACTCAAGGCCTAGGGAACAATCAGAAATGTGAGCAGAGCTGTCTTAGCGAGGGTGCTGGGCCACTGGGTGAACGGGCATCCCCAGTGCACTGCAGGCAGCCTTCGAACAGCCACTGGGGAGGGTTTCTGGGCTGTGGGGAGGGGCTTGTAATGACATCAAGGGGCCACATTAAACAGACCTGCAGCCGCAGTGTAACCTCCCACGATAGCCAGCCTGGGCCCTGAGAGCACTTGGGCCCTCTTTCTTCCTTTTTCTTTTTTCAACCTTTTTTGATACTCCACTTTGAACAAAGAACTTGCACCACGTGCAAAACCCAGAGAAAAGCAGTTGACAGCAACCAAAGCCAGGAGCCAGTTTCCCAAGGCAATGGGGTCTGCCCCTGCTCTCCCCAAGCCCAGGCCCCTGCCCCAGCCCCTGTCCTCACAATCCCAGACCAAGAGTTGGAAAGGGCAGTGGAGTCTGCCATATGGTCCTAGATACTTCCACCACAGGGCCTTTGCACTGCCTGTTCAGAAGGAACAAAATGCTTGTCCCCAGACACCCGGTATACAGTGCTGTCAGGCCTCTGCTCAAGCACCACCTGAGAGAGGCTTCTGTGAACCTGCCCTGAAAGGCACCTCACCCCACCTGCCACTCGGTACACTGGCTCCACTTTTTGGCCTGTGCCATGACCTGACAGTTTCAAAGGGAACTATATGTTCCCACTTTCCTGTCTCTCCTCACTGGGGATCAGAGGAGGCTGAGGTCTTGAGTGATTACTGACCACCAAAAAGGCAGTCGTCCTAGAGCAGTGCCTTGTCGGTGGTCAGTAATCACTGAAGACCGGATGGGTGGGTGGATGGGTGGGTGGATGGGAGGATACGTGGATATGTCGATGGATGAATGGATGGGTGGCTGGATGCATGAATGGACTGGGGGACTGGATGGGTGGATGAGTGAGTGAATGGGTGGATAAGTAGGTGGGTGGATAGCCAAGCGAGTAGAAGGATAGAAGGCAGGTGGGTGGATACCTGAGCAGGTGGACAGGTGGATGGAGGATGGATGGATGATAGTCACATCTCTCCCTGACAACTTCCATAGTTGCTGACACACAGCACTACAAACTGGCCCCACGCCCCTTGCAGCCTCCCCCCGGCACCCATCCATCCTCCTCTCCAGTTGCCTACTCGTCCTGGCCTCACGTTCCTCCTGTATCCTCTAACTTCCACACCTTTGCTCAAAGTGTGTTTCTGCCTAAAGAGCTTCCTCCTATTCTCTGCCAGAAAAACACATCCTCCTCTAGGGTCAGCCGCTGCGGGAGCCTCCCTGACCTCACTTACACACCTCCGTCACTGCACCGCGCCCAGCAGTAGAGACTTGCCACACATACCCCATGGCCCACAGGCTGGCCTGGGGACTGGTGGAACCAGGGATGAGAGAGGTGGCTGGTGACAATGACATGCAGCTCATACAGACCCACCCCAATGGACACCAAACCTCTAGGGAGGAGGCCCAGCCACCACCAGGGTGATCTGGGCCATTGGGACCCAGTCACTAAGTTCTCTCCCACCCTGTCACCACAAATTCTGAGCCTCCTCACTTCTGGATGCTGCCCCCATTACGGGCTTTTGCACAAACTCTTCCCTGGTACTGTACGTAGCTCTCCACCC